CAGAAGGTCCCGGTCCTGGTCCAGGTCCTGGTCCAGGTCCTGGTCCAGGACGGTTCCAGGACTGGGAACCCTGATGAGATCAGAGTCTTCTTCTCTGCTTATTGCTTCTCTTAGAGCGTGTCGGAAAGCTCTGAGGTTTGATTTTCAGCTCGAACTAAATATGTTGATATCCAGGCCAAAGAAAATGAGCTGGAAATGGATCAGAACCACCACACATCCAACCCTGTACACACTCTGGATTCAGAACCAGAACCTCCCCACAGAGAAAACAGGCTCCACAGCATCGGTTCTGGTCCATCTCCATGGCGACCAGCAGGGATGGAAGCAGGTTCTGATCAGCAGAACGTTTCCTCTGGACCTTTATCAGAACCAGTTACCGAGGATGCTGGTGTCTTTTATTTACGGGTTCTGAGAAGGAGAAATTTATTTTTTTCCCATCATGCCTTGGGACATAAGAGGCATAAGACCTAGCTGCAAAGTGAAGGCACAGCTGGGGTCAATAAATATAAATATGACTTGGAGTATGCACAGGGAATAAGTTAGTGTCTGACAGCTCCCAGGGTCAGAAAACCCAGGGTTAGGGGTAGAGACCCAGGGTTAGGGTTAAGGTTAGAGACCCAGGGTTAGGGTTAGGGTTAGGGTTAGAGACCCAGGGTTGGGGGTAGAGACCCAGGGTTAGGGTTAGAGACCCAGGGTTAGGGGTAGAAACCCAGGGTTAGGGTTAGAGACCCAGGGTTAGGCGTAGAAAAACACAGAGTTAGGGTTAGAGACCCAGGGGTTAAGGTTAAAAACCCACGTTAGGGTTAGTGGTAGATACCCAGGTTTCTCCTCTTTTTCATCAGTTGTTTAGCAGATTCCACATTATTTGTTCCTGTTGTGTGTTCAGTTTCTGTTTCAACTCACAAAAAGCTGGTTAACAGTAACTATTGGTTAACATTTAGTAACAGCTGGGTAGCAGCTGGTAACAGCTGGTTAACAGTTAGCCATAGCTGGTTAACAGTAACAGCTGGTGAACAGTTAGCCATAGCTGGTTAGCAGTTAGTAACAGTTGGTTAACAGTTAGCCATAGCTGGTTAACAGTTAACCATAGATGGCTAACAGTTAATAACAGATGGTTAACAGTTAGCCATAGCTGGTTAACAGTTAGCCATATCTGGTTAACAGTTAGCTATAGATGGCTAACAGTTAATAACAGCTGGTGAACAGTTAGCCATCGCTGGTTAACAGTTATTAACAGATGGTTAACAGTTAGCCATAGCTGGTTAACAGTTATTAACAGATGGTTAACAGTTAGCCATAGCTGGTTAACAGTAACAGTTTGTTAACAGTTAGCCATAGCTGGTTAGCAGTTAGTAACAGTTGGTTAATAGTTACCCATAGCTGGTTAACAGTTAGCCATCGCTGGTTAACAGTTAGCCATCATTGGTTAACAGTTAGCCATCGCTGGTTAACAGTTAGTAACAGATGGTTAACAGTTACCCATAGCTGGTTAACAGTTAGCCATAGATGGTTAGCAGTTAGCCATC